ATCTACGCATAGAACCTGAGGTTTAGGTGTTTGCATATATATATATATATATATATTATAGAAACTATTATTTCCATATGATATTATTGGTTGTGTGTACATCAATGGTGGTTGAACTTGAGGATTTTTTTATTTTTATTTTTTTCTAGTGATCTATGTTCTTTGTAACAAATCAATGAATGAAGAAGAGAGTTTTCCCTGTCTAAGCAAAATTATATGTTTTTTTCTTTTTTAATTTCAACCATCAAAGGCCCGGAGCCACTTTTGCGCCAATCATCATCCTTGAGTGCCAGTGTTAGTTTAGATGGTTATTTTGAAGCAGATTCTACTGATGCAATTGAAGGACATGAATGGAAATGTGTTCGATCAATAAATGGTACTATTTTATCATCAATTCTTGGTTTCTTGCAGCCTCTACATAATTTAATTGCAGTATTAAAATTTTTTGGGTGGTAAGCTTTTAGTATGACATGGTTATTGGGCTTTATAGAATTGATTTTATCTCTACAAAAATAGCACTGACAAGGGGGAAGAGATCTCTATTTCTTATATTGCATGAAGAACCCAAATTATTGGGCTTGTTAGAACTGAAAATTTGCTTTCTTTAAGAGGTGATAAAAAGGAAAATTTTATAACACATGGAAAAATTTTAGAGGTTGCAGTGGAGAAAACTTTTATTATCACTGCTCTTTCATAATATGCTTCCTGTTGGTTTCAGGGGTTAGAATCTTTGAGGATGTGGCTGCTTCAAAGGTATTCATTATCTTGTGGTATTCTTCTTGGTTTTGCTTTGGAAATGCATCATATCAGATATATGGAAACATTTCTCTTTGATCTTTCAGTCCTAATTGATTGTTTTATGGCCAACAGAAGTAAGGTTTTTGCATAGACAATGCATATTTCCTACATATTCTCTAATATGACTGCAATGAGTTTTTTCTTCATAGTATTTGATAGTTCAATTCTTTGATTTGGTAATGAATATGTGTTGATAAATCTCAATAGGTAAGAGTTCTTCAATTATATTAAGGATTCAACATGGAGAACAGTAATTGATTCCCCCAGACCCTTTATTCTTCCTTCTCTTGCATTTTCTGGAGTCCTGCACTTGATGGTTGGCATTTTCTATTATTCATGATGAGAACCACCCTAGCAATGTGGTTAAGGCATTGTCCTTCGTCATTTGTTACATATCAACAATAATGTAAATGCAGATTTGTTAAGATTGATGGAAATTATTACCCTATCATAAATCATTGGAAATAAGTTCCATGATGTCTATCAAACAGGACTCAAGTTTGCAATTCTATTTTAAAAGATTAGCAGCACCAAGCTATCCTCTAACGTTCCTCTGACCTTTTATAGAGTGGTAGAGGTGCTCTTGTGAAGGCTGTTGGCGTTGTAGATGCAAGTGCAGATACTGTTTTTGAGGTGATACTAAACTTGGACCGGCATCAAAGATATGAGTAAGTTGCCCGTCTTGTCTTCTGGAATTCTAACTTTTTTTGGTAATGCAACTGCAACTAAAGTTTCCTAATAATTATCTTCACAGGTGGGATATGTTGACCGGTGACTTGGAACTGATAGATTCCTATGATGGACATTATGATGTTGTCTATGGAACATTTGATCCAAAATATCTTACTCGGTAATGTTTATTGGATAATTTTTGTTAGCACTTTCTGTTTTTATGTTTATTACTGGGAAAATGATGAAGGCACAACTTTTATTGTTCAACTGTTTTATACAACCTTACATGGACTCTTTCATTCTACTTGGACCCATGATATTTATGCATCCACTCCTTTAATGACATGTGGAAGTTGCAAATAAAAGTTGTACAAAGAGGTTGTTCCTATGTGATTATCCTTATTAGAGCGTTCAACCCAAAGGAAAAGCCTAGTTTCTATTCTCCACAATTAAGCCCCAAAGGCAACTTCATGGTTTGGTCAAATTAGGTCAAATTATATTATTTCAACAATGAAATTAAATTTGTACCCTTGTATTAGTGATTAAATTAAAGTATAAACTAATGTTGAAAACAGGTGATGGGCAATAACTTGGATAACAAACAACATTAGAAATAACCTGCATTTGTGAAATGTTTTGCAGATGGCAATCCAACAGGGATTTTGTCTTCTCTAGGCAATGGTTTCGAGGACAAGAAGGAGCATACAGTAAGAGAACATGGATTTCATATTTAGTTTGCAATGTTCATTTTTCATAAATAACATCTCTTGCAGACTGCTTATATAATTT